CATTCTTGGGGGGGGGGGACTGGCTGGCTCGAGCTCCCCCTAGTCTTGGCCTGTCCTGTCCCGGGAACCAGGAGGGGATTGGAGGCCACTACCCAGCCTGAGGCGAGTCAGTGTCTCCCTGTGCACCAGGCCGGGTCGCTCTAGAGGGGTGGTCCTAGAGGCCAAGGTGATGATCTCGCAGAGCTCTCGGGTCCCAGGGGTCCAGGAGGAGTGTGTGGGGGGCTGGGAACCCAGCCTGGACCCCCAGCCCCCTGTGCACCCCAAGGGGCTCTACGGTGTCTGGAGGTCTTTAGTAGCTGCACACACCTGCGCTCCTGTCCTACAAGCCCCGGCAGAGCTCAGCGAGTCACAGACTTGCCTTGGGGACCCCTGACTCTCCTCTCTGCCTCCCCCCACCCCACCGGACACTCATGGGAGTGCTTGTGAGCACAGCACACACTTGGGCAGCTGCCCCAGGGAGGGCAGGAGGTCTCTCCGGACACCGTCACCTGGAGCCCTTCTCTGCTGGGTTTCCTTGTTTCTTTCCCGTTTCTCTTTGATAGTTTCCTGCGCCCTAAGGATGCAGCACAGGAAATGCCATGCATATTTTTTTGGGAGTGATGGGCTCCCTACTCCTGTCGGTCTGGAGAGATTTACCACCCCAAATGTGTGTCTGCCGGGCCCCCTGAGGCCCCACGGGGCAGCTTCAGCTGGTGCCGTCACCGGCCTCCGTCCCCTGGTCCCCACTGCGCGGCTGCCCGTGTGCGCCTCCGGTCCTGCTCAGGTGCCCTTGCCCCGGGGGCGGGGGGAAGCGGGTGCGTGCCCCCGCCCAGGACGGGCCCTCAGGACAAGGGTCCACAGATGTGTCCTCAGTCCCAGAGCCCCCTCCAGGGACTCCACCCACCCCTCCGACACTCTGCCCCAGGGCAGGGTGCTTGCTCCCCACTCCCCCAAGGGCGCTTTTTGACTCCTTGGGCGTGGAGCTCGGCCCCACAGCCCATCCCCTCCAGGGGCTGCGCCCTTCTTCCTGGGTCTGCCAGAGCTTTCCTGCGGCAAGGGGCAGAGCTGCAGGGGGCCCCAGGGTTACTGTGGGGTGTGGGGGGAGGCCGTGCCCAGGCTGGTCGGAGGCTTAGGGCGCCCTGGGCTCTGCGTGTTCTCTTGGGGAGGGCGCAGAGGCTCCCAGCACCTGCACCCGCAGAGCCCGGCGTCTTCGCCCCTCAGCAGGCTCTCTCTCCCTGGTCTTGGCTCTTCCCCCAGGGTCTTGCTGCCCATCTGCTGGGCAGAGGAAGAGGGGGCCCCAGGACTCTGGGAGGCCCCCCCCCACCCTCCTAATGTGTCTGGCTCCCACGGTAGCCCCCATCCTGTGGGGAGAGGGCCACAGCGGGGGGTAAAGTGGTGTGTGTAGACCCCCGCCTCACCCCAGCCCGTACTCTGGGGATCTGAGACGGGGCCACACCTGTCCTGGGCTTCCTGGCTGGCGGGGAGGGGGGGAGGAAGGAGGGCAGAACTGCCTCCAGCTCCAGTGTGCTTGGGGGCCCGCAGAGTCTTCCCTGTGCCCCCTGCCCCCACCTACCCCATGCACGGTCAGCCCAAGCAGGCCCCTCCCTGCCGGCGTGCTCCGCGCCCTGCCTGTTCCTATGACCACCATGGTCACCCAGGGGACTCTGGCTGTGCCCAGCAGCCCCACTGGGGTAGGGGGTTGGCGAGGCCCCACCTACCTGTTCCTTCCTGCAGAGTGCCCGGAGGGGACGTTCGGTGTGAACTGCTCGGGCTCCTGCTCCTGTGGGGGGGCACCCTGCGACCGGATCACGGGGCAATGCCAGTGCCCTCCAGGGAGGACTGGGGACGACTGTGGGGCAGGTGAGTGGTAGCAGTGTCCTGAGATCCCCTCCCCCCTGCGCTGCACAAGGCTGGGTGGTCCCAGCCCGGACCGTGTTTGGGGACCCCGGCCCCAACTGCATTTGGGGACCCCCAGCCCTGGCCCCATCCTCAGCAGCTGAGACCCCCCGCTGAATCACGCTTGGGTCTGGGGGTGGGGACCGAGCTGACCTACGTGCACCAGGAGCCTGTCCGCCACGGCGACGGACCGGCCAGCCGAGCCGCCTGCCCTCCCTGCGGGCGGTGCTGTGCCCTCTGGGCTGCCGGCTTATGGGGGTCTCCCAGCCTCTCTGATGCACTCCCCAGTTTGCCTGTTGAGCCGTCCTGGGGCAGGGGCTCCTCTTTGGGGGTGGTCCTCTGCAGCCCGCAGCCCAAGGAGGGGCCGGGGGCTCCCATGACCCGTTCCTCTCCCTCCCCTGGGCCGGCTCAGTTGGTGCCACCGCTAGGCTGGGACACAGGGTCTGTACCGTGCTCCCCCGGGCCAGCAAGGCCCCCCGGGAAGACTGACTGGCTGTGGTGGGGGGGGGGGTAGATTGTCCCGAAGGCCGCTGGGGGCTGGGCTGCCAGGAAATCTGCCCCGCGTGTGAGCACGGTGCCGTCTGCGAGCCCGGGACCGGAGCCTGCCTGTGCCGCCCCGGCTACACGGGCAGCCGCTGCCAGGACGGTGAGTCCCATGTCCCCCCGACCTCAGACCCTAGCCCGGGCGGCCCCATCCACCGCTCACGCTTCCTCGTCCTGCAGCGTGCCCGGCGGGCTGGTTTGGGCCCGGCTGCCAGATGAGGTGCTCCTGTGCCAATGACGGGCACTGCCACCCGGTGACCGGACGTTGCAGCTGTGCCCCCGGGTGGACCGGCCTCAGCTGCCAGAGAGGTGTGTGGGCCCGGGGGTGGGGGTGGGGGGGGCGAGGAGGAGACGGGATGCTCGCGGGTTCTGCCGGGCCTGTGCGGGCTGACCTGGGTTGTGTTGCAGCCTGCGACAGCGGCCACTGGGGACCCAACTGCAGCCACACCTGCAGCTGCAGTGTAGGCCACGGGAGTTGCGATGCAGTCAGCGGCCTGTGTGCATGTGAGGCCGGCTACGCGGGCCCGCGGTGCGAGCAGCGTGAGTCCTGGCCCGCCCACAGGCGTGCTCCCACGCGTGTGCACGCACGCACGCAAGTGCTGGGGGCCTTAGTCCTGGGACAGGCAGGGGTCCCCTCCCCCAGCTCCCCCTGCCCCCCAGCTCCCCCTGCCCCCCCAGCTCCCCCTGCCCTGCTGGGCCCAGGCAGCCCCCATGTACCTGGGCCTGAGATACAGGCACACTTGGAGCAGCAGACAGGGAGAGGTGGGGTCTGTTGCACCCCACGGGGCACCCGGAGGAGGGGGGGACCAAGGGCCACGACCTTCTGCGTGTGCCCCCCTACAGCTGGGCCCAGGGGGTCCAAAGTCATGCTGGGGCTCCTCTCCTGGGGGCTCAGTCCTTAGCTGGCTGGGCAGGGAGGGGGTGGAGGCAGGTAGATGAGCCCCTTGGGGACTGCCCCGCGGTCCCGTCCCCCAGCTCGGATGGCAGAGGCACAGGCAGGTGTCTGTCAGTGTCTCCCCACCTGCTGACGCTGGGCGGGGGCTGCACGGCTCAGGGTGTCCCCAGGGCTACTTCGGGCCGGGCTGCGGGCGGCGGTGCCAGTGTGAGCACGGGGCAGCTTGTGACCACGTCAGCGGGGCTTGCACCTGCCCGGCCGGCTGGAGGGGAACCTTCTGTGAACGTGGTGAGCTGGGCCGTGGGCCGGGGCTGGCGGTGGGCCCCGTTTCCTGGCTGTCTGCCATCACCGCCCGCTCTCCGCAGCTTGCCCGGCGGGCTTCTTTGGACTGGATTGCCGTGGCGTCTGTGACTGTGTCGCCGGAGCCTCCTGCGACTCCGTGAGCGGCTCTTGCCTCTGCCCCGCCGGCCGCCGGGGCCCCCGCTGTGCCCAGGGTACGAGAGGCCCAGGCGGCCCCGGGGGCTATGGGAGGGGGGCCGGGTCCACGGAGCCAGACTCGCGTCTAGGGCCTCTTCCTGGGTGTTCGACGCTGCCTGGTGGCCACCTGGGAAACGCTGCCTTTGCCCACAAGGGCCAGCATGTTGGTCTCTGTGGCCACCCTGCCTGTGCCCAGCTGCCCCGGATCTGCTGCAGCCCTGGCCAGGGCCGCTCCCCAGACCCCTGACTGTCCCCTGTCCTGCAGCCTGCCCAGCCCACTCCTACGGACACAACTGCAGCCAAGCCTGCACCTGCTTCAACGGGGCCTCCTGTGACCCTGTCCACGGACAGTGCCGCTGTGGCCCTGGCTGGATGGGCCCCACGTGCCTGGAGGGTAAGCCCTCCCGAGGAGGGGTCCTTTAGGAGCAAACAGTCCCACCCCGGGGAGTCTGGAACCAAGGATTGTGTCAGCCCTTCGATGAGCCGTGCAAGGTCACGTGGGCATGGGATGCCGGTGACGCGGGTTTCACCGGGAGCGACGGGCAGGGAGGACCGGGGCCTGTCACACCCCCACGGGGCCCACGGCACCTGGGGGGGCAGGAGGGTGCCGAGCCCCCCCCGAGGTGGGTTGGGGGCCCGGGGTGGCCTGGGGCAGGTTATCTTACACTCAGCCCTGGGGGAGGTCCTCCCCACAGAGCCTGGTGTTGGGTTTTGGGGGTGGCTGGAAAGCACAGAACCACCAGGGCCAGCCCTCGACAGGGGAGAGGCGTTGGCCCTGCTGGGCTGACTGGTGGGGTGCTCCCCCCCTCCCCTCCAGCCTGCCCCTCAGGCCTCCACGGCGAGAACTGTCAACATTCCTGCCTTTGCCAGCACGGGGGCACCTGTGACCCTGTCTCAGGCCACTGCACGTGCCCAGAGGGCTGGGGTGGCCCAGCCTGTGAGGAGGGTGAGCACGGGTCAGGCGGTAGAGGAGGAGGAGGAGGGACCCGGGGTCTGGGTTGGGTGCCCCGGGTGTCCTGGCATGCCCCCCCCCCCCCCCCCCCCCCCCCCGACCTCCGTGGGCAGAGGCGGCTTCTTGCTGCTGGGGGCTGTGGCCCCAGACCCGTAGTGTGACTAGCCCCAGGCACCTCTCCTTCTCGACGTGGGGTGCAAGGCCCTGGGCGGGGTGGGGGTCTCCTGGGCGCGGGGGGCACAGGGCACTCCCGGAGCACTGTACCCTGCAGAATGTCTGCCGGGACGCTTCGGGGCCGGTTGCCAACACAGCTGCAGGTGCCTCAACGGTGGCCTCTGTGACCGGTACTCAGGCCGCTGCCTCTGCCCAGCCGGCTGGACCGGGGACGAGTGTCAGAGCCGTGAGTGGGCCAGATTGGGGGCCAGTTGGGGGAAGTCCGGGGGTCCCTCTGGGCCCATCAGGGGCTGGCCTCAGCCTCCCTGCAGGGTGGAGGGC